CTACAGGAATGGGTACCTAATATCAATAATATTTTCTAACAAAAAACTTATTTTATCATACCAAACAAAGATAAATTCACACAGCAACACACTAGTTTAATATTTCAGATTACCGAACCATCATCGACGTACGGCCACGCCCGAGCGTCAGATCGGGGTGCATTGCCCTTTAGGATGGGGATGCATCTGTATTTACAGGTCCACCTGTAGCCCGGGATGGCCGAGTCGTGGGTCACTGGCCCAGTTCCCGCGTCCTACTTCCCAACCCAGCGCAACAAGTGACGTGATATTATGTAATGCTGTACTTAGGTGATGTAGCGGCCATTACCGACGACCACGGTACACGGCTTTCAATCACTGTGATTGGCTAATTAAGATGGGTCCCGAATTGATATGTCTCCAAGCTAAGGCTTTGGCAATATCTGTGTAGTTTGGGGAAGTCATGTTGATGAATGTTTGCATCTTAAATAAATGATGGTAGTCTAGAGTAGGGGTTGCTAGAGCATAAATGATATTATCATAATCATTAGGAGAATTTTCTGTATACTTTTTCAATTGGTACTTGTGAACTGACGTACTTGTTTTGCTCTTTTCTGAGAAAAGTAAACCAAGTTAGTGAAATTTGACTTGAAGCAAATGTTAATTTATTTTCACTTAGCAACCGTTGCTAACGACAACGACGATCGATGAGCCTACTTGTGTTTCTTTGTATCTTCATAAAATCCGTAGACCCACCTGTCTCTTAAACTTAGTATTCTTAAATAAACTTAATTAACTACTTCTTAAGGTTTTATTTTCATGTCGTTCTAGATAATATTAATTTTACAAAATGTGATGTTAGGGAAACCTTAGAAAAGAGATTATCTTGCTCTATTTACTTAACAAAGAGGTCCATTTGCAACATGATCCATGCTCATGAATCATGAATAATGTAGTGAATAAAATAACGTAGCTTGCGTTATGTAAAGTTATAATTAACCTAATTAGAATTTTATACAATACTTTAGTTACTAGATTTTTTTCTGTAACGTATATTAGTGACGTGTGCTAATTGAAGCTATTTTTATTCTAACTATTCATTTTCTCCATTAAAAGCTGTGTTAGGTGCGTCACCTGAGTCAGCGAAAACAAATTATGTCCCAAACGTCAAGGTCAAAGCTTTTAACTCCACATCGAGGGCCATAAAAGACAACCCTACTCAGAGAACAGGGTGCCATCGAATCTGGTCATGAACCCTGAAACAATTTAAAGGGTTACGGAGAGTAACCAATATTTGTATAGAGAGATCAGCGGATTTGCCGCGTTCTATATTTGCTGCCAATAAACCCGCTGTGAAATTGCCTGGCTCGGGTTACATTCCTTGATCGTTCTGGAACTTTGATCATGTTTTCTTTGATAGTGTTCAGATTCTACATTATTTGTATGTGGGTATTGTTATAGAAAATCGACAACTAACTTACCTACTATTCTTTGGTATTAAGACCTTTTATAGCTTTATTTGCGACCAAATGTTGGCATATAAACAAATAAATCGTAACGAATGGAATCTTTTTCAAAACAAATTATGTGAGAGGCAACAACATATTCAGAGTAAATTATTGCAAACAATAACAAGGATAAACGGTTAATAAATCGTCACCGAGTCTATCATTACTTACCAGTTTGCGAGATGTATGAAACAGAAGTATTAATGGCAATAATGATATAAAGTTGTGTTGGCACAAGCACTTGTACATACATCTGGGGTTTTTGATGTAATAATGTTGAAAATAAATCAGATTAGTTGTTTTCTTTCTACAAAATGATGGTCCCGTCCTTCGTTTTGGGTCCAGAAAGTGCTAATAAAATTGCGGTAGTCGTAAAAAACTTTGTCGTTGTATATTAAAAGCTGGTCGATTTTATTGCTTGTCACAGCCTTGAATCTTTTGGGCTAAGGTTTTATTTAGCTCCTGTTTGCGGACTTTATACAATAATTGATAACAGTTGGCATTCAGTTTTACAAGCCAATTTCCTCAATACGAAAGGAATTTATAACCAATCTTACGTAAAATCCCTAAGTACACTTTTGAACACCCTTCTCTTTGAATAGGAGTTACGAAAGAATTGGCTTTTGAGCAAAGTTTGCACGAAGTAAAATAAATAGGTTCAAGGACGTGATTGAATTGGAGAGCGAACAGTAAACACCTACTACAAAGCCCAGGCACTACAGGAGAGTTCAAATATAACTTGTATCGATCCTCTAAGTGCTACCCAAGCAGAAGTTACCGAAAGCACTTACGATAATTTTGAAATTGGTTTGAGACGAAGTAGGAATCACAAAGAAACTTCACTGTTTGTTTCTAACTCGAATGGTTGCTGAATATTTGAAACTCAAGACTGATCTCTTCTTATTTGGACTTTGAATAATTCATTGTTGCTTAGAACGATTTCCATGTATTTTGAACTACGTACAACTTTTTGTTTTCCCATTTTCTCTTTTTTACAAACAGTATTAAAGCGCGGTTTGGGTGCGCTTCGTATTTAAAGTTGTTGGAAAAAGATTCCCCTTATCAAGTTATGTAAGGCTAAGTTATGAAACATTTTCCCTTTATTGACGAGCCAAGTAAGAAAACTTGACGTACTCGGTAATTGATTTCTGTCCTGATTTAAGCCGCTCACGTTCTTGTTAACCAACCATTTTGTAACTTGTTTATTGTTAACAAATTGTCAAATTGTTTATTTAGGGTTTGTTCTTTTAAAGGCACATGCTTTACATACATTTTTGTATTATATTATTAACTACATATTTTTACGCCCTTCACTCGTTTTCTTCGCCATTATACGTAACTCAGAATGGTAGAACACACGCTGCAGTATGCAGTTAGACTTGAATTTCATTACGTCATAACGCTCAATCTTTTTCCTAGCGGGGTGAAACATTCACTTCGTACAGAAAAAGATTTAACGACATCAGTAATCAAAGGTGGCTTCTCTTCACTTTTGAAACCGTGTTACAAAAGAACTAATAAATCAATATAAGATGCAACTTACAATAGTTGTTATGGTTGTTATCGTGTAACAGCACCATCGTGGCATCGTGCCGTGTTCACCGCTTTCGTGTTTAATCTAAAGATACTATCTGGGTTAGACCGCTTTACAACTTAGATTAAAACCTCGCGTGTCTCATGTAAGCTGGCATTTTCAAGTTTTCCACGCCGTTTTATCAGTTTTCTGAATGGTATATTCTTTGGTGTTGGTTCTTTGTGTGAAATATAATTTATGGCTGTAGAAGAGTTGGGTTTCGTTGACAAAGTTTTGTGTTATACTGCTTAAGGTTAAAGGCTTCAGTTGAGCGTGGTGCGGCGCTCCGTAATTAAAGCTAATTACTTTGTGTTTAACCTAAAATGTTTTGGTAATTTGTTTTAAATAGTACCTACTGTCTCTTTTCTAAAACTGTCTCTTTTCTTTTGTTATTTTTGACTTAGAAATATTAATGTCTATTACCCTTTCTGTCATGATGTTACGTAATACCATGGCGTGTTTGTCTTCTTCCATGGGTATCGTGACTTATTTGAAGGTCACGGTCGTTACTGTTTCAATATTTTTTTGGTTTTAGTGTTTCTTTTCATCAAAATTAATTAGAATTAACTCATATTGCAGAACATTTTTGAAGATATTGCGTGTGTTGTGTATATGACATTTATATGGCATTTATAAGCAGGTATATGGCAATAGGCTCACCCCCTATTACATGGGACTCATAACATAAATAGTGAAAAGTGGGTGTTACATTGTACAATGGCACAATGTGCACCTCTGCCTACCCCTTCGGGGATAAAAGGCGTGATGTTATGTTATGTGTATCTTCTTTTCTTCCAAGTAAAAAAATGGTTTGCAAAGAAAACGTTAGTTTCTCTTAACCACTTTATATCTTGAGGTCGGTTCGTAACATTTTGGCTCTATTAATTAACCACTAGATCAATACAATATCAATAATGCCTCGGGGAGTTACTGTTCAAGATCCATTTTGGAATAGCAACAGTTAGCTAAATAGTTAGCCATTTACCCTCTAACGTGTTAATATGAAAATTACGGGACTGCGGTAGTCTGTGTTATGAATGGATCGTTAAGTATGAATAAAGCAAAGGTTAAGACCTTTGCTTTATTCATACTTAGCTAGTAGTAAGCTACTAGGTACTTGCTTCTAATACTAAGAAAAGTGATACTTTCATCGATTGTAAGTTAGAGCGTTAATAGAAGATTAGCTGTTATGTAACCGACAATTACTTGTCTATAAAACAAATCAGACACCCGCTTAAAATACTAAGCTACATAGTTATTACACCGTCTGATACATTCGTGTGTATAGTGTGTATCACAATATAACAGCACAAATATACTTTTGACGTAATAACCAGCAACTTTCTTGTCGTAACGCCGTACCATTAGTTCCAAGGTCAAGGGCGCGCCGTTGCCAGGCAACGAACCCACAACAAAGCTTTTCTCACTGTAATTTAACATTATTAATGGTTGTTAAACATGGATTTTGCATTAAAATGTTATTAGCTATTATAATCGGCGGCTCACAGTATATTGTAATGTTTGTGAAATTTTTAGGTGTCCCACGGTGGGCGCCATTAAGCTTACATGTTCAGTTTTTCTAACGATAACCGAACTTTAGCAAATGTAGCCGTTCCTGTACTTGATTAATGATAAATGATTCTGGCTAGTGTCATTATCGCTTCGTAATGTGAGGTTTTATATGATAAAGCATTGCTGTTAATAGTCCCACGGTGGGTGTCATTAAGCCGTGACACGGTTATTGTTACTGAAAATGAATTATTCAACACATCCTCGCAGATTAAGACTGATTTACATGTTAGAATTTGTTAATGTTTATTATATTCGCTCACTGGATAATGTATTTTTGTTATTGATTAGCTTTGGTACCTACCTATCGACTTATGTTGTCCCATTTTTCGAAAAATGGGGTTTTTGACGTCAGTGACTTTTTATTATAGGCATCTCCACGTTGTCTGGCTGCGGATCTCCAGACCAGCTGGACCGGCTGCCAGAGCTGCCAGCGGCGGAGGAGAAGAGGCTGCGCCGCGCTGCCCAGATCCTGCAACAAAGGCTCGTGCTTCGCCAGTGGTTGGCCACCCATAGGCTGCAGCACACCTACTCCAAGTATGATCACTTTGATTTAAATAAAATTATCTCTTTGACTGTCGGTAGATATGTGTTAAAGGCAAAACTTCCGCTAACTAGTAACATTTATGCCGTTAACTGAGGAGTTAAGTGCTTCGTTGATCGAGTGAGCAAAATACAACGAGTCTTAATATGAGATGCTTTTTGAGGTGTAATATGCGTGATGTTAAAAACGATTAAGGGAACGAAGAAAGAATTACATTAATCCCTTTCCACGTAATAGTTTAATTCATTAAACTTGCCAGATTCAAGAATTCTATTAGGAAAGTTCTGTTCAAGAGGAAATTAACATTTCGGCTAGTCGGTTGTCGTATCCACTGCAGAACATTAAGGAAATTGGCTTCGGTGACGTAAAACCTTAAATGTCCGCTCGGTTATTTGAAGCAGTAAAACCAAGTAACTACCAGAACTTCTAAAAATATGAGTGTTTTTGTTAATGAATTAAATGAAATGTAAATGATGGTGTAAGTTACGTTAAACGTAAGTTTAGTAATGCTATTTTCAGCGTGTGAATCTGTCCTTGTATGGACATAAAAGTATTTATTGAACTAGGACCCCATATTTAAAAATGCTAAAATAATTTCTGAAAGACAACTCAATAATAATTTGCAAAATTAAAACCTTCCTTGGTCATCATGTTTAAGACCACTAGACCAAATTGCCGATTTGAATTATTATAGGTATACAACAATACCATTTTCTTTGATTTATTAGAGTAGAACTTATTACAGTACCAGACTGTATCTGGAGTGGCTACCAACAGTAGCAACTAACTATTGGAGCGAGCCATAAGTAACGTGTATGGGAATAAATCAAAGAGATAGCGTGTCGGACATGTGCCAACAACATCGCCTTCAGACACTCGTGACCTTGACATTTCCACTTGACATGTCGAGGATAACGGAACACGGGTTGTGGACACAAAAACTTCAACACTTTTTGTCCAACTTCTGATTTATATTGCGGGTAGTGCTAATTTATATACACCAATATTTTGTCGCAAAAAGGTAATACTTTTCCGAAGGAATATCATAGCGAAATAAATTTCGACAAGGACAGATTAAAAGATACCTACGTTAAAATATATATTACTTGTTACACTCGCATATGACTAAGCAGTTTTAACAACTTACATCAAGTAAACGGTACAACAATTTACCGTTAAAATTAAAGAATCGACCGCAAATCATAAGCACCGTCCATACAATTATCCAGGTCAGGTCAGGTGTAAAATTCAATAAACTTATTATTTGCATAGTGAATATTCACAACAAGGTGGCATATCTCAATTCAGAGTATTCCGAGTCGACGGGCCGACAGCCGAGCTTTTGTTGAAAGTATGTCAATTTTGATACAAGCGCCTCCCTTTGTTAGGCCGTCGGCTGTCGGCAGCGGTGACAATGCCTCGGTCTCCTCATTCAGCTATCTTCCACCACAGGTACGTCACGAAGCCACTTTGAAAACTCTGGATTGATGTTTCCAAAGGCTATTTTTAACGTAGAGGCTGCTGTTTGTGAAGTGGACGGGTGAACTCGAAAGTTTTTTAGGCAGGGACCTGTTTAAATGTGTTTTATACATGGACAACAGAGTTTTAGTAACAGGGTCCCGTTTTTACACTTTATGAGGCTGTATGAGTTTACAGATGGGCAAATCTTCTGACAATTTAAAACAAAAATAGAAATCCTGGAATAAGAACAAAACGTGACAATTTCTTAAATAGAAATCGGATAGTTCGAAAATGGCAAACTGGATATAGTGGAAGATATTTATGCATAGACTAACTTCGCAGCCCTCACACAAAACCGCGGCAGCCGGCGTAACACCAGTTTCCTCCATATTTTACTGGAAGCTTAGGAAATTTTGCAAAAATTTGAATACATTTCGTATTCAATTCTTGGCTTGCATTTTACGGAAACTCCAGCTCATGTTGAGTACAACATACGTGCTGCATGTACGCGTGCAAACCCCCAAGGGAAATGCGGCAATCTGCTAAAACTTCCACTGCAAACTTGGAACAAAGGAATCATAGAATAACAAACAATACTAAATTCCTGTCATGTTTTGTTTGACCTTTACGAAATTGAGTTTGGAATCCTCGTACAATTCTGCGCCTATAAGACCCGCGTCAATGAGCCACGGATCATGACTTTATTTGGGTACAGAATCGTGCCTTTTAACGGGAACCCGAAACAGGAAAAAGAGTGTTTGAGAAATTAAAAAAAGGGCAATCATCTGGCCTGTTCGTTTCAGAATATTACATTTAAAATTTACGACAAAAATACAATCTCGGCGCGATGCTCTTTAACGATCCAACGCATTTTCATATTCATTGCTTGCGCCGTCCCTTTTGCAACTACAAAGGGTATTGAAATTTTTAACTTTGGGATTCAGTTACTTAATATTGGAGTGGATCCTTGATCTTGAATCTATGCTTACTTGCTTATATTGCTTATGAACTGCGGACGTGGATATATTGAACGGTGAAAGGTATTTGTGAACGGTGTCATCTTTGTGCACATTAAATAATTGCTTTTTGACGTGTCAGTATTTCTCACAGTCATTTCACCATGTTTCTTTGTTTAGCGAGCTATTAGTATATAGGGATAACTTAATATACTGGTCTGAATGTTGCATGCAGGTTAACCATCTTTCAAGCCAGTTTCTGTCTTGATTACCCACTAATGATCACCCATACTATTCTAGCAGGTAACTTATAATACTTTAACATTCATCCAGCTACATTAACTTTTCAGTGATGAATGGAACTTCATTTGCCTTACCAAAGTTGAGATGAATCTGTCTCTTTTAAAATTTTCATGTCTTCACAAAGTTAAACTGGCTCTTTTCAACAGTTTTCCGAAACTAGTGCACCAAGTTTTAAAGTAGTAATTGGATGTTACCTAACATAGTCTGCTCGTGTACATTATATTTTCAGGTCATGCAGCTGCTTTGATTATCTTTTTTAGAGTTAGTAGTTATTTGAACAGTAGTGATTTCAATTCCTTTATGGCAGAAATTTTTAGGTAACTTGGCTACGTCGTAGTGCCATCGTTAAAAATAATTTTCATTATAAAAGTTTAAGAATTCAGTGACTCACTAAACTTAAATCAGTGAGCAATCATAAAATGCTTGAAATAAAAAGTTAAAGTTATTCCGGATTGAGACTGGCAGAAAATAGAATGGACCACTAAATTCACTTCGGCTTGCTGAGCTACCGAGACCGAATCCGATATTATATTCTGGAACTGTGGCATATTAAACATTCATATTTTGCTGGCTTGCAGCACGTCTATCGTATATAACCATACCTTCATAGTAATTTTAAAGTGTGGGACAGCTATGAATGAGCCGGCTCGACCGGAGTGGCACCACGGCCTCACAGAAAATCGACGTGAAGCAACGCTTGCGCTGTGTTTCGTCGTGTGGGTGACGTTACCGGAGGCCCAGCTCCCTCTCCCCTTCCCCAATCTCCCGAATCCCCAACAATCCTCAAACTCCTTCCTCCTCCCAAAACGCTTCTGGTGTTCCAGGTGCCCATGTTCGGCGCCGATTGCTTATCACCAGGTTATCCGTCTGCTCGTTTACCGGCCTTAAAAAAAAATCAAAAAGTATATAAATTATGTCAGCTTGTTACTTTCCCATTTCTATACAATGTTGTCCTTCTATACTTTCCAAAAAAAATAATCATTCATTACCTTTATTCAAGGCAAGTTTCGAATACATCCTCATTCTCAGAAGCCTGAATTTGAAGGTTACCAATACGTTAGATTTTATACCTCGGGTAACACGAGGTCGTAAAATGGCAATCAAAAGTAAATCCGTGACCAAAACCCGATCTTTCAACTCATCCTCATATCATGAAGGTTTTATGAAAAAGGTCCGAGATTTATCCTCATTTTCACTTAGACAGGAGAAGGTTGGATCCTATCGGCTCACGTCCCTACGCTTGATATATGACAATCTTTTGCGCTCCATTGAATTCTTGGTAACTGCAAAAGACGTTTTCCACATATGAAGTGTTTTGATTCACTCGAAGGAATTCCTCGTGTCTTTGGAATCTATTTATAAGCTTGTTTGACATTTATGTTGCAGGTATATTTTGAGATGTTTATCTTGATTTTGATTTCTGTGTTGTTTTTTTTAGTAAATTCCGTCTGCTGTCTGTACCTTTAAAGTACATCATTGGGTTTGTCTACGATAAGATTGCCTATAATAATGCCCATTGTGCATTTGTACACATTATATCTACAGTTAGTCCTAGGTACATGTTTTACTGGTGTACAATGAAGTATGTGAATATCAATAAATAAGAATCCAATACCACTTAATAAACAATTAATATGGCCACTAGGTAAATAGTTTCCACTTGATGACCGATCACGAAGTCTGGTATTGACAGTATACGACAGGTACTTATCGTGGAATTGGTTTCACCTTTCACGCGACTCTCTGAAGCTCGCAACTGCTTCTATTTTCAGGTTTCATTATACCTAACTTACTTTAACTAGTCCTGTTTTCTGAATCACTGAAAATATAAGTGGAAAAGGTCAAGGCTTTCGTATTTTTAGAATTTTTCCAAAGTTTGAATGTTGTATTTTTGATCTATGCATAAAGATTGGATGAAATACCATGTCCATTTTTTTAACATGTAAGTAAGTAGTTGTTTTTATTCGTACGTCTTAAATTTAACTTTGAGAATATTTGAATATTTTGACCTATAGAGATAGTTTACTCTTTTAACCGACCAATCACATTAACTTTTAACAGATCAAACACCTATTAACAACTTTATAAGTTTGTACACTATACAAGCTTTCATTCTATTCGAGAATGTGAATCATTTGTATACCTACGAATATACAAGGAGGTATAAAAATACGTATCTTCAAATTGACTCCATTTGCGCGGGAAAATACGCAGCTGTTACCAGTAATTTGGTCTCAAATCTTACAAGATACAGGAGCTTCGATATTATTTTC